TTCACCCAAATGGAAAGGTCTCTTAGCATGCCCACTAGTTACAGGTTTCCATTTTTTCCTAGTAAGTACAAATAGACATATATATATAATATATATATATATAATCTATAATATATATATAATATATATATAATCTATAATATATATAATATATTATATAATCTATAATATATATAATATATATATATTATATATAATATATATATATATAAATTAATACAAAATTCAGAGAAACCAAAGAAATACAAAATAAAAAAAAAACAGTTGGTCTTCCTGCCTCTGCCTTTCAGCCCCTCTCTTTGTCTTCCTCAGAGGAGAATGTTACTGCTTCCTTCTCTATCTTTGCAGAAATATTCTATGCACATTTAGTTACATACATATATAAGTATATTTTAATACAAATGAGGCCTCACTGCACACACTGCTCTGGGCCTTGTTAGATGGACCGTATTTTATTAAGCCAGATCCCACTTAATGGACATCAGAACATGTCCAATAGTCCAATATTAACAAGTGATGCTGAAATAAATATCAGTGATGTATTTCCAAGTCTCTTTAGAATACTCAATGTGGGGTTTACCTAAGACATAGGAAATGTTTTTAAGGGCAGTTTTCTGGGTTGAGCTGTCTCAAGGAAGAAAATATGAGAGCTGTGTTCAGGATTCCCTTGAGAGCAGAATGCTGGCCCTCCCCAGCTCAGACCCACGCCCAGCACTGCCGAGGGCCATTCATTTCCCCAGAACTGGCCTGGGACGGATCATACTGGGGATGCTTTCATTAGTTAGGGTGGAAAGATGTTTCATCTTTAAGAGGAATCACTTTCCTCTTCACAAGTGGTCTAGAAAAAACAAAGTAAAATTGAAGTAGTGGAAAACATACGTTGAGATGAGGCAAAATCCAGCATTGCTTCAGACCTGAGCAGGGAATCACAGCTCAACACGCAGAGAGAGAGCAGGGACCACCAAGGCGGCTAGAAACCTGAGCGAGTGTCGGAGACAAGGAGTGAACTTTTGTAACAGGCTCAGCTATAGAAAATTCTTGGGACACTTCCTTTCCCAATAAAACTTCACATAACAAAGTTGTTTTTGACAGGGTTGAAGTTTTTGTGGAAGGGATACGGAGGCCTTCAGTTTGCAGGTGCAAGAGATCCCCAAGATAAGTCCACTGGGGTTGTCAAGGGTATTTCATTTGTGGCCCAAGGTTGACACAGTTCAAGGACAAGGAAGAAAATTAGAGAAAGCCTTGCCCTGGGAACAAGAGAATCCAACCAAACCCCATTCTCCCTCTTTTTCAGGACAAGGTCATCAGGACACAATGGGGTTATGGGGAGGGGAGAAACAAAGGAAAAAGTACTTTATAATCATTACCTCATTTAATTCCTGCAGAAGGGGAGGGAGAGAGCATTGTTTCCATTATATGAACCACATTCCAGAAAAACTGGAGAATAGTAAGAGAGAAAAAAAATCAACCCTAATCTCATAATTGAAAGAAAGTTATTGTTACCATACTGGCAATTGTTTTCACCCCGACATCTTAATGTATTTGTTATTATTTTTATATAATTATAGTCAAAGTGTTACAACTGTATACCTTCCTTCCTAATTTTTCCTTAACCATTACAGGATATACAAGTTCCATGTTGCTAAATTCTCCAAAATCATCACCTTTCTAAACATGAACCAATCATCAGCACATGTCAGTTTTACTTGGATAGTTCCTTATTGTTGAATATTTGCATTGCTCTTGGGGCTTTATTTCTGCATTATTTTAAATAATAGCACAATTTCAGATTGTTTTGTTAAGATAAATTTCCCCAACTGGGTAGGAGAGTAAGGGGCAGGGGAGAGGAAGCAAGTGGACAAGCATCCTAAGATGCCCTGAGGAACTTGGAAATAAGATTTCCTTTGAGAGTTCTGCTGTAACAGCCGACCCATAATCAGTGAGAACAGCAATTTGAGAAGTTACCCTGAAGGGGTAGAGGCAGCCAAAAATGAAATAGTGTTGAAGGCACCAAAGTAGCTGAAGAATGTGACCATCAGAAGAGGGTGGGCTGGCCCAAGGAGTCCAGAAAAAGTGGTCATACCAGTTAGAGTGTTTGGGGGATGTTGGGTAGCCCTGGTTTACTCCTATTTTCTCAACATCATCAGTAACAACACCCTCCCATCTCACTCTCAAAACTGTCTTATTTCAGAAAACAAATTACACAGTCCAGTCCTATGAATGGCTTGGCAACGGGCAGGCCTTTCTCTTCCAGAGGGACCAGAAGGATGCACCCTATTGCACAAAAGAGTTGGAAGAGGACAAGTTGCGTCTGAGAGAGGAGTGAGGCTGGGTGCCAAGCCCACCTGGATGCACGTTCTCCAGTGGGACAAGGCCTTCAGAGGTATGGCTGGGAAGGGAGCTACAGAGAAAAGCATAACACTGCACCCCAGGAGCTGGTGGGGAGGAATCTTGACCACCATGTCAGAAGAGGGGGGTACTCCAAAGCCTCCCCTTGCCTGCTGGGGCACAGTGCTGCCCTGCAGCTATAACACCCGTGAACTGAAGGACCAGAGCCCTCCTCCTGGAGAGAAGGAGGATCACCAGATGCTTCCTGGACATCACACATGACTCTAAGGGAGAGCTGACCTTGCAGTGCGGACATCTGCCTGTCCACCAACACTGGGGCAGTGTGCTCAAGCAGGTTTTGTGACCTCTGGGAAAGCAAAGGAATGCAGTGCCAGGCTGGATCTGAGTGTGTGCAGCAATTCAGGCTTGACAGATGGGTGCAGCAGCCTGCAGGTGTCTCCCCACTCTGATGCCACACTCTCCATAGCACCCTGTGGGTGTGGGAAGAGGACCCCCAGGCAGATCCTTGATTCTCTGTCAATTAATTAATCATTATATTTTAGACATTGGTTTTATGAATTTGGACAGCTCAAATCAGTGTACAGGGGCTCACTCAACCCTGGGATGGTTAAGAAAATTGAGTTTATGATCCACAGAATGAAGGACAGGCCCATCCTCCAAACATTTGATGATTTTTTTTTCTTTCATCTGCCTCTGGTTGCCCTGTATTTTAACTTTTAAGTTAATCTGAAATTTACTTTTCATTTAGGACCAAGTTACTCTTTGTCCCCAACTGCAAGCAGGTTATTACCATGTGATTTGTGGATACTACTTTAAATTATGAGTATTTGTGTTGCCTTATGAGCCATACAGCTCATTTATTCATGAGCCAAGGTCTTTGGATTGTTTATTCTGTTTCATTGATTTGTCTATTCTCAAACAATGACCAAATTTATTTTGAGCACTGTATCCTGATGACATTGTTTAACAATGATAAAAACCAATCTTTTTATTCAAAGATCTATGTTAAACACTCACATTATTATTTTCACAGTAACTTGAGAATTTGTTCTGTTTCTAAAATGGCCACAAGGATATTGAAATGACCTACACTAACTTTGTGCATTAATCTAGCAGCAACTGATATTTTCACAACAGTCATTTTCTTATTCAGGAACATGATATTGTTCAAATGTGTATGTTATTTTTTTGTGTACATTTTATATGCCAATAAAGTTTTGGAATTTTCTTGATTGCAATCACACTGATTTTCCTTAAAAATACTCCAAGGTGTTTTATGATATTTGTTGTGATTCTTTATATGTTTTTTCTCATTAAATCTGCTTATTGCTGGAGAGGTATGTAATTTAACAGCCATCTTACGGATGACAAAACTGGGGCTCGGGGAGGTTCATAAATTGTTCAAGATTTATGAAGCAATTAAGCCGGGAAGCAGCAGCATGAAGCAAGTGAGGCCAAACCCCAGCGCCCACGCGAGCATTTCCTTATTCTGCCCTGTGTCCAGCCTCTTGGCAGCCTGTGGTGTCGGGAGCGGGTCTGATCCCTTCTCTCCTCCACGCTGACCTCCCTCCCGCGTCTCTGTGGAGACTGGCTTTCCATCCCACTTAGCTGCACTTTCATCTCCAGCCCCTTCCAAAGTGCCCTCCTTTTCTGAGAATGCCTGCAACTCCGTCTCCCACAGGAAATGTTCACGAAAGGAAAGCCTTTCATGCTTTCCATGCCACCATTGGGGAAGCGACATCAGCGAGCGGGAAGCAACGGCCGTGGGGCGAGGTCTTCGCAGCCGCGTGGGGATCAGCTCAGAAAGTGAGAGCAGATCGCAGACACCTGAGTCACCGGGCTGCGGCCTGCGCAGCTGGACACTTATCTGCTAGGGGCGCCTCGGGCAATGCGGGTGTCCAGCCCCAGAAAGTTGGAGGCTCCCGGGACTGAGGCTGGATCCTCTGCTTCAGGTGATCCATTCAAGTCACACTTGATTTCTACCCACCGGGCAATGGGCTTTTCCTAAAGGAAAGCTGCAGTGTGTGGAGTGAACTGTGACCTGCCTCCTGGGCCAGCAGCCCTCCCCTGGCTGTGGTCAGTGTTCTGAAGCCAGTACCGATGATGGGCAAATCCCACTCAATCAGCCGTGATCCCACTCAGCCTGGCTTTTCACTCTGCTGCTTCTGGGAGGAAGATGGGCACAGCATGGTTATTTCAGGTCCATGGAACTTCCAGTTTTGGGAGGCAACTTCTCTGGGTCTCTTTGCCACCACTCACAATTCTCTGTGCAATATCTTACCGCAATTCAGTTGAATTAACTGAAACATGGCAAAATGACAAGACTGGCCAGAGCCCACGGGAAAGCCGGCAAGGTGAAAGATGGCCTCGAAGGCCGCAGCTTGCAGTCTGTGGGGGCTGCGGGATTTAGGTCTGAATTGCCATTCAGTGCTGGGGACTAGGCGCCCCCTCCACTCAAGCTTGTGGGCTGTGTCAATCAGGGTCTGCGGGCATCCGGAACAGAGCAGAGGCTGGGCCCCTGCCCTCCTGAGACGTGCCAGAGGCAGGCACCTCTGAGTGTGACTTAAAGGAGGAGCGAGAGGCACCATGAAGCTCAGCTTCCCAGAAGGCCTCCTAGGAAATGTGTGGTTCAGAGGGAAGCCTGGGGAGGGCACTGTTCTTTCTTAGGAAGAGTCAGAAAGCCACTGAGCCCTCACGGGCTCCATCCCCAGATGCCTGGTGCTCTCACCTCACTCTTCTACCACCTCCCTCCATAACCCAGCTGAAGCCACTTTCCCCTCACCGAAGTCCTGCCACTGACTTCCCAGAAATGAGAATAGGCACGTTCACGACTTCAGAAAAAAAGGACTCTATAAATACAAATGATGGGAGACTCTCAGTCCCGATGAATATGTTTTTCAAAAGACCAAAGAGAATAAGTAACAAAAGCACTGATGGTGTGAGGTCCAGGCGCTATTTTTAGGCTGTACTGCCTGGTTCAGGACAGACGGAAGATGGAAGAGGTGATGCTGGCTGCCGGTCCTGCTCTGTTTTGGTCCTCACCCCCGGAAAGCACTGAATCCTTGATTGTTTGGTTAAAAACATCCCATAGTGGATTTTGTTGTTAGCTGCTCTTGATCTTTTAAAATTTCCTGCATGTGCTATTGACTGCCGTCCCGGCCTTGATAGAAGTCCAGACAAAATTGTCAGCCTGTGAGCTGTGGCTTTGTCATCAGCAGCCTCAGCCGTTCTGGCGGCAGGGGCAGGAGGCTGTGGGGCAGGAAGTCGGGCTGCGAGCCAAGCCTGAAGTGACTGGAGAATGGCCTCAGACCCACCCTGGCCTCTCATTTCTCCATTTCTGCTCCTGCATGGGGCGATGGATGATATTCTTATGTAAGAAACCAGGGGAGAAATCCTGCCGCAAGCACAAAACAGCCTTACACAGTGAGCTATCAGAAATGCCACTAAATGCTGCAGGTGTGCAGATGCAACTTGAAGGAGTAATTTGTGGCCCTGGGCTTCACTGGGCCCCTTCACCACCCAGCCCTATTCCGAAAGGGGGGACCTACCAAAACACTGACGGGTGGGCCCACTGCAGCCAGATTTCCCCATGTGCCCTAATTTCCACATAGCCCAAGTTGAGTCAGCCTCACTTTTTAAGGGTGTCGTGATGCAAAGTTCTCTTGGAAGGAGGGGGTCATCTCAAGACCCTCAGGATCTAAGTGGGTCCTAGCACATGGCTGGCACTCACTGACTGGTGAAGGAGAAAGAGAAATGGTGAAGGAGAAGGAAGGAACGGAGGAAGAGGAGAAAGGGGGCTGCAGGAAGGGGAAATCTGGAAACAGGCAGAAACGAAGACCTCAGCTTCACCCACCCTACCACAAATCTCTGAGCCAGGGCACTTCAGTAGCCCACAGGGCTGGAGCCAAAGGGGCAACAGCAGGAGGCGGCCTGAAGCAAAGGAGTCGAGAAGAGACAATGGTAGAGTTGCCCAGAATGTCCCACACTCCCTCCATCGAGTCCTTAGGCACAGAGGCCTTCTTGCTGCTGAGTCCTTAAAATGGAAGAACTACGGCATGGCAATGACTTGGAAATTGTTCACTCACGGTATTTAGCAACCAGAAGCAGGGCCAGGCTCAGTGGCTCACGCCTGTAATCCCAGCACTTTGGGAGGCCAAGGCAGGCAGATCATGAGGTCAGGAGATTGAGACCATTCTGACCAACCTGGTGAAATCCCATCTGCACTAAAAATACAAAAATTAGCTGGATATGGTGGCACGCGCCTGTAATCTCATCTACTCAGGAGGCTGAGGCAGGAGAATTGCTTGAACCCAGGAGGTAGAGATTGTAGTGAGCCGAGATCGCACCACTGCACTCCAGCTTGGTGACAGAACAAGACTCCATCTGAAAAAAAAAAAAGGAAGGGTTTGTGACATTCATTTTTTTTTTCTTAGCATGTGGACTTCATCAAAAGGAGGGTTTAGCTTTTTCTCTTCCTCTTTAGCTCCCCATGACTAAGGTTGAGGGGTACCTTGTGATATAAAGCTCTACCCTTAGTTCTGAAGGAAGTTAGGTAAACTCTAGAGTGGGAAGACTCGTGTTTCTGTCTCCTCAGCTACATAAACGCGCCTTCAACTGTTACATGCTGTGACTAAAAATACAGTTTTATAACAGCCCATTTCACTTTTCACAGCCCAGATTCCATCTCAGTTTGTGGGAGGGTTGCTGAGGGAGGTGGGCCGGGAACTGGGGAGAATACACACACGTAGTTTGTCAAGGTGTAGTTTAACTGTAACTGCTGAAATAAAATATGAGAGGAATACCAACTTCTGTGAAAGGCAGACATAAGCACAGCCCTATCAAAGCTCCAGATGTGTGTTAGCCTTAAATATGTGTGACGTCGGCTCCTGTGACAGGCCACACCGTAGCATTTCTCATGACCAGTTGTGCGATTATCCACAAGACCAGCCGGTGCGAGATGCCTCCTCTGAGCAGGACACGACTGAAGTTGCCTGGTCTTGTAGGAACCAGAGTCTGAAACTTACCCTAGAGTTAGAAGAGAAGCAATCAAAACAGAACACCCATGAACAGCACTATTTTTAAAAAACTCTTTTATTTTAGTGGAATCTCCCTGTGGCCCTTATAACTAAGAAAAAACAAAAAAAAATGAAGGGACTAGTTTTCATTTCCATGGGCAGAAATACAGCCTGAGAGCACATTTTACCTGATTTGGCTACTCTGAAAACCTTTCCCAAACCTTAAGGATTTTAAAAGGAGAGAGTGCTATTGCCTCTGCTTCACAGAGGAGGAATCTGAATGAGAGGAACAAGAGTTTAGACAAATTCACCCAGCATTCATTTGAAAGAGTCAAGTTTAAACTTCAGCATTCCCACGAACCCAAATTTGACAGTACTGGAACCTCAGGAATTCTGATTTCTGAAGATCTATTTTATTAAAAGGTAAAAAATATAAAGAAAAATGCCCCAATATAGAGAATTGGGATCCTACTAGTTAAATACATTCTCTGCATGTGTACAAAGTCAGAAGTTTAGAAAAAAGGCAAGTCAGAAACTGTGACCTCCCTTGCCAGTGTAGCTCTCATGAGTAGTGTAAATAAAGTGCCTGATAATCCATTTCAAAGAATTATTTAATCTCTTGTAAATCTGGAGATAAGTATTCTAAAATTCAGTGCAAACTCATCTATATTCTTGTTGAGAATGCATTTGTTTGCACTAATATCAAATTTCTAAGCCCCCAGCATCTGCATAGTTTTGGAAAATTCTTTCATGACAGAACCAGAGAAGTCTCGGGCTTCCTTTGCATCCATGATTCTTGGTCACCCTGACAGAACTTTCAGGTATTGAACGTGAACGGGGCTGGTCATTTTATCAGTATTTCAGGACTCAACTATTTTTCTGATCATAAATCCAAAATCTGAAAATTCTCATGTCAAAGAACTGAATTTGTTTGTGTTCATGCCAGCAATTTTCTAAGCTGAAGACACTTCCTTGCTGTGCATTGAAATGACACGTAGGTCAGCTTGATTGACTGTTTTAATCACCTACAAGCTCATCTAATTTTCTGTATGTCACAACAGCTTTCAAACGATTTCATAAATTTTGACCAAACTTAATACTCTTATCTCTGAAAACACTATTTTAAAAACAAAACAAAACAAAAACTGGTCATTGATTTTTAAAACACAAAGAAACTCTCCTGTTAGGTATTTTTGTAATTTAGTAAGAGCCTGCCACACACAATGGCCCTGGTGAGGACTGCCATTGACAGCCTGGGCTGTCAGCTCTGATCCCACAGTGCCCACAGCACTCGGCCAGGAGCATTTAACTCTTTCTCTTCCTCGTGACTGCATCAGCAGCTAACAGGGAGTGCACTCTGGGGCCCTCCGTGGAGACTCTGTGGGGAAATTTCACTCTTCACATAGCAGAGGGGTTTGTGTAGGTCCAGGGTGTGGTGAGCTGCCCTATATTACACGGCCTGCAAGTGGAATCCTGTCTGAGAGACGCCAAATCCCATACTTTTTCCACTGTATTGCTTTTCTATGGAATGTGAGAAATTGAAATACATCTTCCATCAAGTGTCCACCATTGGCTCCAGCTGGATTTGAGTCTAATTTACATTACATATAAACCCATCTACCTAATCCATATTATACGTAGAAATAAATCCTTCAGATGTCTCCTTCATCCCCAGTGCCTCCTAGGTCAAAACACAATGAGCCTGGCTGTGTAATTGGCTCTTAGCTGTGGCCTCCACAATTCCAACCTTGCCCTCTACCCCCATAAGCATTCGCCACCCAGCACCCAGCATGATTTCATAAGCACGTGCATAAATCCACCACTCCCTGCTCAGTGCTACCTGTGGCTTCCCAGGCCCTCAGAAGGAAACCCAGATTTCTTAGTGTGCGCATGGTACCCGCTACTGAAGCACACACGTGACTCCAGCCATTCACACATGCATCCGATACAAAGGGCCACCTCACTCACCACACTCCGCATTCTTTGCAGTCCCAAATGCTCCAACCTCGTTTGCACGTGGGGACCAGTCTGTCCCTGCCTGGTGTCTCCTGGCTTACTTTCAGGTCATCCAGTTCTCACCTGAAATGCTCCCACAGAAGCAGGATGGTCTGGAAGCCCAGCCCTGTGATTCTGCAGCACATCCTCTTGCCTTCTCTTCTTCACCGCACTGTGGCTCTCTAGCATTGGCACAATTTCCCTCACTTCCCTGCTTCCCACCACATACTGTCAATTACAATATCAGCTCCCTGCAAACAGAGCTGAATCTGCTCTGGGCCTGAACTGTGGTTGGGAAAAACAGATATAAAACTCACCTGCTGATATTCCTAATGCTCCATAGGACTGTCCTCCCAGCACTGGACCAGCCTCCTCCCCTCTGGGTCTCTTCTCAAGGCCAAATGCACCTCATGCATGAGCTGTCCCCCATGCCACATCTAGGCTCTACCCCATGTGAAGGCGTCTTGAATCCTGCAAACCCCAGATCTGAGCTCAGCCCCACAAGTGCCACATAACTGGACAACATGACTCCAAGGAGAGCCTTGAACACATGGAAAGGGGCCCAAGGTTAGCAAGAGGAGCCCAGTTCTGCAGGAAGCCTCGGTGCAGTTCAGCTAAGATGGCTGGGGTCCTCTCACTGCCCTTCACCCTTCATTCTACTATTTCTGGAGCCAGGGCTCCTGGATGGTGGGGGTTTTCTCTACCCCAGCTGCTCCAGCCAGATCCTCCTCCCCTGGCCTCTTCCACACAACTTCCAAGCCTCCATAAGTGGCCTTATTGACAAAGACAAGACTCCAGGCTCAGAGGAAAGCACCTACTCTTGAGAGCTGAGAACTAAAAGCAAGGGCTCCTCTCCAGCAATGCATTCTTCAGAGGGAAGGCCCCGGGAATGCAAGGAGCGCCAAGCTCACCCTTAGCAGAGCAGCTCCTCAGAAGGTTTCTATAAACCTCTGGCAGGCCTCCACCCACCTCTCAGGAGGTGAGCTAATTTCTTGGCTGAGTCAATGCAGTAGAAAGTCAAGATGGTTTGGTATCCATTGACTTGGAATTGATGTAATTTGTTAATCCAGAAAACTCAGTCTATGACAGGATTCATGACCTGGTGAATTTGCCACGTGTGGCAAATGCTGCCTCGCTCTCGGTTTCTGAATTCTACAATCTAGGAATTGGAGAGATCCTTCCGTCTCAGAATCTACCTTATACAGTAGAACCCATAGGCGAGTCTCCCTGCAAAAGGCAGGATAGCCCTGGGAACCCAGTCTCCTGGGTCCTGCGGTGGCTCTGCCTCTTCCCACAGGAGGTTCTGTTCTGGTCCTGCAATCTCTGCATCTGTGACCAGTGTAGTTATACCCTGTGACTTCGAGGTTACTTTCAGCTCTGGGATTTCACACTCAGGATTTATAGTTATGGCTGGTTCCAGGCCCACCTCCTCAACAAGGTCTTTTTGACAGCCCTGTCTAAACGAGTCCTTGTCTGCCCCTCTGTGGCTGCACACCACTTGACTCTCCTGCCCCACTGTGACTCACCCGCCCTGCGTTTGCTGCCTCTACCTCCTGCATGGTTCTGCAGGTACTGAGATGCCAGGAACCCAGCACTCTCATTCAAGGCCGCAGCCCCAGGACTCAGCATGGTGAGCCTGGCACCAAGGAGGTGCTGGACATTTGCTGAGTGACCTGATTATAGCCTCCACCTCTGAGGATGCATCTGTGGCAAAGGGCAGTTCGCCTCTCACCAGGCTGGGGATGCCGTGTGTGAGCCTAAAACATCCACACTGAGCTCAAATAAGCCTCACTGCAGTTTGGTCTCAGGTCTAACCATTGACTCTTCTAATCTTATTAGCAATTACTCAAATAGAAAAAAAGAAGCATAGAGCTTCTTTGGAATCCTGTTTTAAAATCCTTCCTTTTTATTTTGGAATACAGCAGCTCAGGAGAGCTGGAAATCAAGAAACAAAGGGATTCATTCTCGGGCCAAGAAATGTTCAGAACCAACAATGGTCATGTTTATACTAAAATGGTAAAAAAAGAATGCTTAAATTAAACCATTATTGATTTAAACTCATTAAATAAGATAATTGACGTGGAATATTGAAATTAAAGACTCTGCAGTTGTGTTCTTCTTAGTCTACCTGGTGGAGAGCATTAATATTTGAGTAATATTTGTCTTTAAAGAGTAGGTGGGTGGTGGACCCTGAAAATAGCCCCCCTTTTATATCAAATAGGACTTTAACAAAACAAGTTGGACTGCGTTAGAATCTGTTTACATAAATGGAGTTTGTAATTTTTTCTTAATGATTTAGGATTCTACAGTAATAACATGGCCACATGTGGACTTGAAGATATATATACTTTATAAAACTCTAACATAAATTAAACTTCATTCTATATTTATTCAACACATATTCTTGTTTCAGGAGAAAATAATTACTGTCTGATACCTTTGTGAGAGACATGCTCAGTAGCAGATTGTAATGATGACATGGTCTTGCTTTAATAAAAAAGAAATGGTATCTAAAAATAAAAATAAAAAGCTCTCCCCATTGGTGGCCTGAGAAGGGGGTGCTTGGTGAGGCTCAGCAGCTGTCTCAGCCTCAGCCCTCCAGGCAGGGCAGAGTGGAAGGCATGCAGTTCTCTGCTCCAAGACTGCAAATGTGGAGGCAGCAGAGCCCAGGGAAGTCAGGTGCCCTTGCCACTGCCCCTATACTCCAGCCGCTGTCCCGGGGTGGTGAACACTGAAACAGCGTCCAGGTGGAAGCTGGTATGGCTTGGATTTCCCCAGAGCATCCCTCATCACCATGTCATATTCTGCCAGGCAGCCTGCGCCATCCAAGAACATGTCAGTAATGGGGACTGTTTGGGGAAAGTGCACATTTTTTGTGTGCATTTGATGTGTTTGGTTTATTTAATTATTTTAAGCTAAGTTAAAGCTGGACTCTACTCTCCCATCCTCCTGAGCTGTCATTTATGGAAATCCCCATGTACCCACCAGACTTTTGTGTGAAAAGATAAGGCCATGTGAGCAGAACTTCGCCCATGGACACCCCGCTGCGGGCTCGGCCGATGTAGGCTCTGTGCCCACACTGCCCTGTGGCACAGCCCTCCCTGTCACTAGGTGACCTTGGGATGTTGTCTTCCTGCTCCCTGTTTAGACTTGCACCTCTCCTCTCAATTCTGAGGCCAGTAAAGGAAGGGAGTCCACTTGAGTGGAAATGCTGAGGGCGTGGCCCCAGGGGCAGGTCAGGGCAGGCCAGCCGCATGTGCACAGCTCGAGTCTCCAGTGGGGACAGGCAGTTGGCAGCTCCAGGTGGCCCCCGTGGAGCACCCCATCCTCTGTGGTCTTGAAGCACGTTTGCCTCGCATGGCAAGCACTGCTGCCTTTGTTCTCCTACGACTCCTCGGGGTTGAGCCCTTGGGAACGAACATGCACAATAGCAGGTTGCGGAGGCCCGAGATTGTTTCTGACAACAGCAGCTCTCTGTGTGACCACAGCTCCCAACTGCATCTTCTCCAGGTCCTTTAGGCACAGACCTGGGGAAGCAGTCACCCCCCAAGTAAGAGGGCGACAAAAATAAAATGAGTCAAGCCACACCACCCACCACCCTCTCCCTGAGAAAGGTGAATGTTCTCAGCCCTTTGACAAGGCTCTGCAGAAGTTAGTCCCTTTATGCAAATCAGTCTCTCCCTCTGCTGTGTGTGTGTGTGCGTGTGTCTGTGTGTGAGCGTGTGTGTATGTGTGTGTGTGTCAGTGTGCGTGTGCGTGTGTGTGTGCGTATGCATATATGTGTGTCTGTGTGTGTGTACAATGGCATTGACCCGAAAGCAAAATCCAATAGGTAAGAAACATCCTGTTCCAACCATGACAGACCCTTCTTCCAATGCAAGTGGGTGGAGCACGGTCACCATCCTTAAGATTTCTGGTTCTCAGCCGGGCACGGTGGCTCACGCCTATAATCCCAGCACTCTGGGAGACCGAGGCGGGTGGATCACGAGGTCAAGAGATCGAGACTGTCCTGGTCAACATGGTGAAACCCCGTCTCTACCAAAAATTAGCTGGGTATGGTGGTGCACGCCTGTAGTCCCAGCTACTCGGGAGGCTGAGGCAGGAGAATTGCTTGAACCCAGGAGGCGGAGGTTGCAGTGAGATGAGATCGCGCCATTGCACTCCAGCCTGGGTAACAAGAGCGAAACTCCGTCTCAAAAAAAAAAAAAAAAAAAAAAGATTTCTGGTTCTCAGTCTAAAAATGTGGGCTTAGCAATCTACTGAGTAGTCTTTGCAAGCATCCCCTGTGAGCAAAGACAGAGTCTAAAACCAATACAAAAACAAGTGTCCATGTGGGTTGAGAGTCCTCATCAGCTGGGACAGCACATTCAACAGACTCAGAGAGCTTCAGCAGGACCGAGGCCTGGCCCCCCACTGCACACCAACGAAAGCAGAATATGTGGGGAGAGGTCAGGCATCTTTACTCTTTAAACTCCTCAGCTGATTTTAACAGGGAACCAGGGTGGAAAGCTCTCGGTCAGGACTTACAGAGACATTGTGACTGGAGTCCATGGCTCCTCCCACTGGCCTGATAACAATTCTGTCCACACAGGGAACCATCCTGTCCTGACACACTCCATGTTGTCTAGCCAGTGGTTCTCAGACTTTGATGCGTGTCCAAGTCACCTGGGAGGATCATAAGGAGCACTGAGCCCCAGGGTCCTCAGAGTGGATGGGACTCCAGGGATTTCTCAGTGCTCCCAGGTGAGTCTGACGCCCATCCAAGTGTGACCACCAAGGGCCTTGTCCTTACAGGGAGTAGAATGTGGCTGAGCAAGTACAGCTGCCCCTGTACACATCAGTAATTGACGGAAGTGCTCCTTGCCTGTGTCACAGTAATACCAGCCAGGAGCCAGCTGAGCCTCCTGCAGAGGTGAGCCAAAGTCAGCCCCCAACTCCTTCACCTCCTCCTCCTACACACACCAGAGATCCATTCTGGAGCCATGTCTGTGCAGAACCCAGTGTCCTCAGCCACTGCAGGCCAGGGTGGGCTTCTGTTCTCTCCACCTGTCATCCCAGGAGTGCTGTCATGGGCTCTGCCTGACTCAGGGTGAGGTCTGTGACCTGTGCTTTAAAACACTGGGTCTCCAGACACTCTATCCATGAAACAAACAAAATAGGGTGAATCTGTGTACTCAAACTGGACGGCCCCAACACATGCTGTTTCCTGACCCCTCAAATTGGTGCTTCCCACCAGAACCGCCACCCAGGATATATGGTCTGTGAGGAGAAGCTCACTATGGGGCCTCCTCCCAGGAGACCAAGCTTCTGTCCACAGCTTGCCCAGGGCTCTGAGCTGTGTAACGTCCAAGGAGAGGCGCAAGAATGCTTGGTCAGGGACTGGAGTCTCTGCCTGGCCTACCTAAGGGTGCCCTCAGCTGCAGATCCCCTGATGGGATGAACACAACAGGTAGGGGATGCCACTGAGTGTCCACCCCCGCAGCCTGTTTTAACGGAACAGGCTCAGTTCTTACATTAGAGCATTAAGTCATAGAAGTGAAGATTAGGATAATAAAAGCTCCCCCAGTTAAGTCTGTTTACCCCACGTCCTTTGTCTCTACTCTGTTTACTCATGTAAACTTTGTGTTTGATGGTCCTCTCGGGGGAGGTCAAAGGGGAATTACCCATTAATGTTGTTATTCTGGGCCCTGGAACCAAGACCTTTCATCATTCATAAAACCACTCTTTTAACCATGTTAATTATCCACAAGCATATTGACTTAGAACCTCTCTTATTAAATCTATGCTGAATAAATGTGAGGAGGAACAGAGATTTATGGTCAGTTAGCTGCAATCACCCTCTGAGAGAAGCTGACGACCTCCCTAGCCTACCTGAATTCACTGTACTCTGGTGTGTGAGAGTGTATTTCATTCATCCGTCGCTGTGTCAGGGTCTGCAGAACAGACCTCCACAGGTGATGATCAGTGTCTCAGGTGGTGACCCCGATGTGATACTCATCACCAGGAAAGATTATGGGAGACTCAATTAAGAGAAAAGCAGAATCCAGGGCTGGGTAAGGTCAGACAGCCAAGACCAGAGCACTCGTCCTGAGACTCAGGCAGACTCTCTGGGGAGGGACCTTGAAATCTGCATTTTTCTCTCTTCCAGGTGAGTCTTATGCCCAGTAAGATTCATAAATGTTGTTCTACATGCTAAGTTTTGGGGATGTGAGTTCCATTCCCCAAAGCCCTGGCTTTAGCCTGCTTATTTCCAACTCTATCTTTGTGGGTGCTTCCCCATCACCTGTCTGCTAAACAATCCTAAATGCAGCTAGAGAGGTCCTGATGTCCAAGCTGGCAGGAAGCACAGGAGAGGCAGGAGGGCTGTGAGTGGGACACAGATCCTAAAGCCACTGATCTCTGGGCATGACTTCCTGCAGTTCTGAAAGCCCCCAGCTTTTAGGTCAACCCTTGAAATGCGAGCAGGTCATACAGAACCTTGGGTCCTGTGAAATCTTCCTCCTTAGAAGTAGACTCTTAATTTACAGAGTTGAGAGTCCACCCGAGAGGAAAGGAACTGGATTTATTGCTGGCAAAATATGAAGGATGTAACATGATACCTCTTCAAGTATCCTTATATATTTTCACAGGCCAGGCAGTAATTGCCTCCAGAGGTGAGGCCCTGATGGGTTAGGGGAGGAATCCTTCCCGCCAGCTAGGAGGTGGGGGTCTGGGGCCAGGTACAGCTGCAGTCAGGATGCAGGACAGATCAGACTCACAAAAAGAAGTGGTGGCAGGGTCCACCAGGCCCAGGGACTGCCAAA